AAATACTTTCACATAATTAAATCAAATTTCGAAATGAAAATGAAATGAAAATTATTTATTAATTGCAAAGGAGGAGGACTACGGGGGGGGGGGGGGGGGGGGGGAGCCTTAACTATGCAAATTTCCACAGAGCGAGAGAGAGAGAGAGTCTCTCTATCGGTTGAGAGCCCGAGAAGTAGCTAAAAAGCGGTGAAATTTTATGTTACGTTTTTTTTTTTTTTGTGCAGCTTCAGCTTGTGCTGGAAGCTCTCTTCAAGCTGATTTGAATAACAAGTGGCGGGGTTTTCGCATCTGCAAGATATATAGATACAATATACAAGCTGCCGTTGCCGCTGCCACTGCCACAGCCTGCCTGTCAGTTACATGCGTTTAACTTTTGCTGCTGGCTGGCTGGCTGGCTGCTGCTGCTGCTGCTGTCTCTCATTAAAAGTAAATTTCGTGCTGCCGGCATAAATCAAGCCTCCAAATGGCGACTGAGTCACAAGAGAGGATATATGTATGTATACTGCATATAGTGGTAGTGGTGGTAGTAGCCAGTGTAGTAGTGGTGGTACTTGAGGCTGCTGCTGCCTCGCCGACCTGAAATCCGAGAAGTGTTTCTGCTGACTGCAGGACTCTTGTTAGAGGCCACAAAAACACACACAAGCTGCAAAGTCAAGTGGCTTAGAGATTGAACGGGGAAGAAGATAGATTAAGGCTTAGGGACTGGGAGGAGCTAATTCGGGAGGATACTCGCAGAATGAATGGGTTAGAAGGAGGGTAAGAGTGTTGCAGCTAATTCATTATCCAGTGAAAGATACTTTCCGAGTTCCCATTCCCGTTCCCGTTCCTTTTTTGGTGGCATTCGAATATTTCCGCTACATATACAACTCAAAATTCTGCATTAATCCATCTTAATTATGGAGCCCTTGTTCGGGCAGCCAGAAATGCAAAACCAATCCACCCAACGCCTCTGTCATTCAATCATGAATTTCCCGCAAAATACCAAACATTTTCCGAATTTCCCCCATGAATGGCAGCTAATCAAGTGTCGGGCTAATCAAGTGCATGGGGGGAGGGGCACTGCAACAAGTCAATAAGGCTGCAACATTGGCAAACAAATCACGCATACGCCATGGTACAAAGTTTCAGGCACTTTCCGGCAGCTGCCACTGTTTGCTGCATGTTTCTGCTATTTGTTGTGCAGTTTTGTGTTGTGTTGTTGTTCGGGGGTAAATACAAATACAAACACAAAAACACAAACACAAACAAATTTTCAGCGTCATTTCCATAGGCGAAAAGCTATGAAAAATTAGCATTGAAGAAGGCGAAGAAAAAGCCTTGCAGCTCCACTAAAATGGAAAAACTTTAAGCAAAAAGAGTGGGACGGAGGACAGAGAGGACAGAGAGGAAAGAGGAAACAGCATTCTGGGCAAAAGGAAAATCAACGGAAATGTCACTTTCTTTTCAATCAAAACGCAATTCATGGCACTCCAAAAACCGAAACCAGCAAAAAACTACAGCGGGAAAAACTACAAAACTACAAAAAAAAAAAAAAAGAAGAAAATAAACGAAACAACAACACGGAAAACAGAAAACAACTTGAGACCGTGAAAGGTCGCGGCGATGGGATTCCAAAGAGAGACCCGACTCTCGATCCCCGACTCTGACTTTGACTTCATCTCCAGCTCCGACTTCACCTCCGAGACTCCGTCTCTCAGAGTCCCATAGTTGGAGTCCAACTGCAACTCCAAAAGTGACTTTAAATTGCAGGAAGCTTGCAGCAGGGAACACGATTTTCAAGTGGCACTTGGGTGGCCAGGGAAGAGGGGGGAGGGGTTACCGGTTACGGGGGGATCTTCTCTCTTGCTAACTGCCACCGACTGAACTTTAACCTGTGTGAACAGCCACACAGCAACAGCTACAGCAACAGCTACAGCGGACTGGAAAGCGGACAACAGAAAAACGCTTTAATTCGCGATTCGTGGAAAATTCTTTGAAGCCCCCAGCCCTCAGGCTCAGGGCCCTAGATAAGGGGTTACCCTTCCTCGATCCAGCGATCCCCTATCCAAGAGAATATACCCTGTATAGAGGATAGGTATTATGATTATAGAGAAAGCATTTCCGACCTTCGAAACGATATTCTCGATAGACACAATCGTATGCCTCAGAAATGTTGATGCATCCACAGATGCGCAACAGTTCTCCCAGGGTATCCTTGGGTTCGTTTCCCCAAAGGCTGAAGCCTCTCTGTTTCGTTTGCTTTGGCCCCTGTCCAACGAACATGGTAAATATTTAAAAATCTACTTAACCAAAGTGAAAGAGACAGGCAACAACGAGAGTGGGGTTTCCCTGACTGCCTGCCACAAGGGGAGAGTACAGCCGGGGGGGCGGGGGGGCAAGTGGCGGCGACAGTTTGGACATTTGGGCAGAAGCGACAACCAGCTGACGCCAAATAGGGTACCTCTCCTCCGAGGAAAGGGGGGGCAGGCATAGAGACGGAGATGGTGAAAAATTCAATAATAATGGTTGAGGGTCAGTGTAAATCACTCTCAAAAAGGAGCTGCCACAACAATGGGGATGGGAGGGGAGCGGAGAGGGGAGAAAAAGTGGGATACAGTGGGAGGTGGAAGTTGGACCTACCTGACAGTAGGTGGCTATGGCTGTGGCTATGGCTTTGGCTGTGGCTGCCTGGCAAATGACTGACATGGGAAGTACCCGCTGCCATGCTCCCTCTGTCACTCCCCCCTTTTTTCCCCTGGTGGATCATGTGCCCTGTAATTTGCACTAAACCAAAGATGCTTTCAGTTCAATTATGTGCTAAGTAGGGGAAAGGAATCCTATCGTATTGTTAGCGGTTCTCCAGGGGAAAGGACTGTGTAATGGATGTACAAGTGGGTGAGAAAATGGGAGAAGGTAACGGTGAAGGAGAGAGTACAATAGATTGATGGATGGTGAATCATCCAACAGCAGAACAGCAGAATGGGGAGTTAAGTAGAGCGAGAGTACAGGCGTTCCATCGAAAGGGCAAAGGGTAAATGGATCTTCACGGATTTACCAAAAGAAGGAATTTAAAAAGGGTTAATCACTCCCCCATTTCCATATAGAACTTTTTACATTTCAAACAAATTTTTGCATATAGAATATACGACTGCAAAGCATTCCATCTCCTAAAGATATAATATAACATAAAAGATAATCTATTCTCTGCAAAGACCTATTCTCTCTTGAAGATCTATTCTCTGTGAGGATCTATTCTCTCCTGAAGGTCTATGTTCTCCTGAGGATCTACTCTCTGTGAAGGTCTATTCTCTCCTATCTTTAGGAGTTCTCTTCTGAGGATCTACTCTCTCCTGAAGATCTATTATCTGCGAAGATCTATTCACTCCTGAAGATCTACCCTTTCCTGAAGATCTATTCTCTGTGAGGATCAATTCTCTGTGAGAATCTATTCTCTCCTGAAGATCTATGTTCTCCTGAAGATCTACTCTCTGTGAGGATCTACCCTCTCCTGAAGATCTACTCTCTCCTGAAGATATATTTTCTCCTAAAGATCTGTTCTCTACTGAAGACCTATTCTCTGTGAAGATCTACTCTCGCCTGAAGATATTCTCTCTGTATTCTCTCTGAAGATCTACTCTCTGTGTAAATCTATTCACTGTGAAATTCTTTTCGTAATCAGTTTCCTCAATCAGTTCTCAAGTGCTTGAACCACTTCCATTCCATTTAACCAAGTCATCTCCATCTTCCATAGACTCACGAGTGCTTACTCTGATCATTCATTATAATTGCGTTGGTTTATCTGCCATTTCCCCTCCCAGAAATTCACTCTTGGCTCTAATAATTGCGTTAATCAGTCTTTAACTTGCTTTCTCTCTCTTTTTTCTTATTCTGAACTAATAAAATCATTAAGATACCTTTCATTCAGACCTCTTTCAAGATTCTCCTCGTTTTCCAAGAATCTTTACGCATTGATACACAATAAACGTATCATATCATGCCTTTGTTTGCCTCTTGATTATGACAATGATAATGATGATGAATTACTAAAATAATTAAACAGATAATGAAAGAGAGGTGCCTCCGATTGTGACATAAATATATGAACATATCTCCCTACTGAAAGGTTCTCTTCGAAAGCAAAAACAAAGCTAAAAATGTAACTAAAAAACTTTTTAATAGCCAAACAAAAGGAACTGGGGGGATCCATCAGAAGTTTCTAAATGAAAAACAACTCGGTTAAGGGGGAGGGGGAAGAGTGGGTAAACACACTGGGAAATGCAGGAAGGAAATGGCTGATGGGGCAGGGCAGGGCAGGGCAGGGCCATGGCATGCCATGGAAATTACCACAGCTCTCTCCCCCTCCCCATCATTCTGACAAAGTAAAAGTGCGTTTGGCAGTTACCCAGGGTTACGACTAGCAGAACAGAACTCGACACACACATACACTGGATGGATGGTTGGATGGATGGATGGATGGATAGTTGGAATAGTCCCCTTCGTGTTGCATCAATTTCTTAATAACTTGGGTGCCCCTCCCCATTCCTCCTTCCGATGTGGCATCAACGTCTCATATTGTGGTGGAGCGGAAAAGGCGCGTTGCAGCAACGGCAACAGCAACTCATCTCTCAAGTGCAGAGTCAAGCAATTTTGTGTGGCATTATGTGAGGGTCTCGTTTGCCATTAACCTGCTTTGGCCAAGGCAAGATACTGCTCCACTCGACTCCTCCACTCCCATCCGATGACTACTTTGAATGCATAGACGCAGAAGCCCCCTCTTTTCTTATTAAAAAAAGAAAAGAAAAAGGAGACTACTCCCATGAGGAGAGCTTCAATTTCGCACTTCATCTATGCCACGGACAAACAGCAAGAGACGTTACTCGCATGCCACTTGGTTGCAACTTTAATTGCTGGCCAAATACAAGACGATGAAACCCTTTTGGCCACATCAATCAACATCAACATCAATCACATCTAAATCTCTCCCTCTCTCTCATTCATTCGCTTCCATTCATTTGCAGAAAACGGCGACAGCGAAACCAACAAAATATCATTATTATCCGCACAATCAGCACATCTATCTGCTGCCCGAGTGCGCCATCCAGCAGGTCTGCAACGCCGTCTACGTGAGGCTCAACTACACCCAGCCCCTGTGCGCCTGTCCATCAAGGTGAGTCGTCTCACTAGAGAAAGGATTAGATTAGGGTTCGCCCACTTGTCACTCGGCAAGTTCTAATTAATCCCAGGATGAGAGCAGAATCTAATCTAATCCGGTGTGTTCCCTGCTCCCTGTTCCCTTTACTTGCAGATATCGTGATCCCTGCTCCGCCAGCCTGAATGAAGACGATCAGCATACCACAAAATTGGTTGGTGATAATAAAAAGAAGGTAAGAACATCCACAGACAGAACATCTTTCGCAGTGGGAGGGCACTGGCATCTGAATTACTTGGATAATTGCTGCAGTCTGCAGATCACTGGGATTCCCTGGAAATCCCTGAAAATCACTGGAAATGAGAGAATTGAGATTTAAATAGCTAGATCATTAGATTGGGTTGCAAGTTCACGACTGTAGGAAACAACAGCCGTGCCATCGATGCTCTGACCACAAATAATATTTCATTGCTTTTTAAATGAATCAATAGAAGATGCGATCAGTGGGAGAGAAATTACAGGAGAGTATGCATCGATAGAGGATCCCAGGAGTGGGAGTAAATTATATAGAGAGAGAGAGAGCACATCCACTGGGAGATGGAGGTGGAGATCACAGTCCATTTTGAGAAACAGCACGATCAAGAGAGCGGATGAATATCTGTGGAATTGAAGATCATTTGTTGAGGGAAAACTTGAACCTGGAAAATCAATTGGAGAAGAAGAAAGCCAACAATTCATGGAATTGAGAATCATTCGATAGATCAGTGGCCTCGAAAATAGGGAAATCAATTGCACATCTCACAGAAGCGAGCTGCGTATTCATTCAAAAGCTTGAGGATCATTTAATAGATCAGTAGTTCAGGGGAAAAACCCAAATTAATGGCAGAAAAAGATCAGTGGGAACCCGCGAAACTATCATCCGAACGAAGATTGAGGATCATTTGGTGGATCACTCCTGATCATCCATCCATCCACTGATCACTCATCAAATTGATTCCTGCGTCTGCGGTTACGACTCTCACTTCTCTGCTGTGGCACGATCGGTTGGTCGTCTGGTCGGTTGGTTGCTTGGTTGGTTGGTTGGTTGGGCCAGGGTCACTGGGAGCTCACCTTGTGGCTTGTTCGTTTGCGGCTTACAATATTATTTGGCCAATAAGGCCCCCCGCTTCTGCTGCTGCAGCCCGTGATTGGGCCACATTTATTGCCTGGCCATGATCTGCTCTCATCTTTGGCCTCCGCCAGCAGTGGAGGCGACTCCACTGTGCATCCACTGTGGATCGCTGCTGTATGTACGTTTAATTAAGTTATAAATGCCCTCGAACGCCGCTCTCCTGCTCTCCTACTCTACTGCTCTCCCTCTAGTCGACTGACAGAGGAGAAATGTTCAAATAAATTAAATAATAAAAAGCATTTTTAATAGTTTAATGGTCAAGTAGTTGTTGAGTACTCCACCATTGAGCACAGGTGTCTCCACTGTCCGCAGAGAGTGCACTTTTCAGGAGTAGTGCAGGAGGTAGGTGTCTCTCAGAGTCTCTCTCGGAGGCAGTAGGAGCGGGCGTGTGGGCAGTGCCAGACATTGTCATAATTACACTTCACTTTACCGTTAAATGCAACACTTGCCGTGTTTCTGTGTGGTGGTGTTTTGCCGGAACTGTACAGCAAATTATGAAAATGCGTTTAGCTGGAAAACAAGAGCAGAGGAAAAACTGGAACAGCAGCAGCAGTAGCAGCAGCCAGCAACAGCATTAACCTGAATGCCACATCGAGAGCCAATGAAGCGGAGAGGCATAAAGCGGAAAAGTGGAAAAAACTTTGCCTGAATTGGCTGCTGCTGCTGCTGTTGCTGCTGCCGTTGCTGTTGCTGCCGCATGCAAACGAGCGCCGCAAGAGTCAATCAAATTACTCCACTCTAGCACTCTGGCACTTTGCCACTCTGGCACTCTGGCACTCTGGGGCAGGAACCAGTAGCCCCCGCCAGTAGTTGAGGCTGTAAATCAGTTAAAGGACAATCAAGCATCGGCCAATTGAAAGCGGAGCAAAAGCAATTTCTGTCTGGCCAAAAATGTTTCTCCTTTCGACTGGTGGGAGCCATTGGCAGCCCTGGGCCATTGGCTGCTCCTGTTTTGGGTATGTTTTTGGCTCTAAAGCGACAGCTGGAGACAGGCCAGGCAGACAGAGGCAGAGCCAGACGTTTAGCATGTGGGCTTTCAATTTAGAGTCATGATCATGAGATCGGGTTACTTTCTTTGCCGTCCGCCCTGTGGGCCTGTGGGCCTGTGCGCCTTTCAGCCTGTGGGTCCAAAGTGAATGTCTAATCGTCGCAGCTATTAGTAGACACCGTCTAGACAGAAGATACGCCCCGAAATTATCATCCCCCCACTCACTCTCTGATCTCTCTCTGGGATTTTCCTTCCTTTTGCATGATTAGGCAATCACGCTGGCCAAGACCTGTGAGGCTACCACGGAGATGCGAGAGTGCCGCTCGCCCAAGGACTGGTCCCTGCTGGCACTCCAAAACACCAGGACTGGCAAATCCCACTACCTGGTCATCTGTCGCTGTCCCGATCACTTCAAAATGGGTAAATATATCACACATGAACATATCACAAGACATCTCCTAATACCCAATACTCGTTGCGCTTCCGTCAGAGGGACCCATGGCCCATGATCAGCCCACATATGCGAGTGTTCCCGGAATCCGAGTCTTTGGCATGATGTGCGTCAAGCCCGGCTACTCGATCCGCAAGCCAAGTAGCCAGCCGCCGAAGCGCTACCAGCTGCAGAAGCCCTTCTATCGTCCCTCTGTGGGCGGCTCCAGTTCCATCGGAGGCCAGAAGGACAGCTACGGCAGACCCATCTACGGCAGTGGCAGCTCTGGCTCCTCCAGTAGCGGCGGATCGCCCATCAGCTCCAACTACCAGCCGCAGGACCAGCAGTCCTTCCAGAACGGTGGCCCCAGCAGCTCCTACCAGTATCTGAATCGTCCCGAGAGCACCCACAGCACCCACAGCAGCCACAGCTCTTCCTCGGCCAACTTCCGGCCCGATCAGTTCTCCATCAACAATTTCCCGGGCAGCAACTACGGACGGAACAACGAGCGACGCGGCGACCTGGCGCCCATTGAGGCACTTGGCAGTGGAACGGGCGCTGGCACCGGCACCGAGGAGCAACCAGGCAGCAGTACGCCCGCGAGCGAGGAGGCCAGGACCACACTTCAGGCGCAGGAGCAGCAACAGCAGCTGGAACAGGAGCTGGAGCAGGAATCAGAGCCGGCGGCAGCGTCGCCCGTGACAACACTCCCAGAGCCGGCTCTGGAAGGCAGCACTCGCATCAGGCGCTCGCTGGCGGACACGATGGACCTCGACCTGGAGCCGGAGTTCCCCTGGGACCGTGTCGTGGAGTTCCAGCAGAGCATTGTCTGGGACTAGGATGCACCGCACCGCACAGCACCGCACCGCACAACCTAAAATCCTAGTAGATACAATTTCTTATAGCACAGGACACGCTTCTCGTCTCCGCGTTTTCGTGCAAAAAAAACTACTGTGACTGAAGTGAGAGAAAGATAACGAGCGAGAGAGAGAGAGAGAGAGAGAGAGAGGATTAGAGAAGGGGAACGAAACGGAAGGGAAGTAGAGAGACTACGGAATGACAGTTCACGTCACGTAACCGTCTGGCTAAGCGAAGTAGCGTAACGTAACGTAACGTAAATTAGTGACTAAGCTTTTTTTATACAAATTTTTTTGGCATTTCAAATGGCATTTCCCTCCCGTTCTAACGCATTCCTGCCACCCCCACACCCACTCCCGCCCTGCCCTTGATGACCTTCTCTAATTTATATTATTTTTTTTTTATATTTATATACAAAAGAACAATTTACGAATTAATTAAACAATTACACGTGTCCGGGTCCGCCCGCGTCGCCCACTAATTTTTTAATTAATTTGTTTTGCATTTAAGCGTAAACAAGGCCTCAACTTTTTATATTTAAATAATTAACGAAACGAGGAAACGCAGTTAAAAGTGAGAAATAGTTAAGGTGCAAAAACTTGAAACTATTCGAAAAAGGCTAAAAAAGGAACAAGAAAAAAGTTAACAAGACAAAACAACAAAAAAAAAACAGAAGAAGAAGAAGAAACCGAAATTATTGAATACTAAATTTAGTTGCTTATTTATGTCTAGATCTAAGCTGCATTTACTAGTAGTTAAATAAATAAAAAAAAAAACTATTTTAAAAGTATGATCGATCGAGAGAGAGTGCGAATATATGTATGTGCGGAAATTAAGGGAACTCTTGAAGTCTTGGAAGGAAACGAGACAGACCTCTCAGATACATGCAAAATATACGCTTTTCCAGCGTTAATAAATATGAAAATCCTTTGGAGTTTTATACAATTTTAATTATTACATTCATTGGAGCTATAGAGATTTACATACAACATTCCAGCATTGTAGCTCCTATTCTTTGGAAGATATATGCCACTGCACCCCTTTTGGAACCACTACTTAAGGCAGTAACCATACAATATTTCAAATTTTTAAAAGAGGTGCCATAAAGCACATCTAAATCTACAAAACATTTTTTATACGTGGTACTCGAAGATTTAGTTCTTCCTTGATCAGCATCAATAGCCGAGTCAATATAGGCAGATCTGTACGTACGTCTGTCCGTCCGTGTTGATGAGATCTCTCATCAGAGACTGTTAAAACCAGAGCAACGACGCCTGCATCCTCCTGTATTCAGACTCCTTAGAGTGTCATACTATTATCCACCCCTTTGAAGATGCGAGAAAACGGAGAATCATAGAGAATAAACATACCTAGCAGATTGCGGAATCTTATAAGACCGGATCATTATTATAGCTAGAATGAACAACCATTTGCAGTGGCTATGCTTCCCCTTCCACGCGTTTACTCATTCGATCTCTGTCTCACTCTTAATCGTGCAGCGTGCGCCCCCTGTCGGAGGGGAGCGTGAAACAACGGTTGGCGTTGTTTTGAGAAGCGCGAAAGAGAAAGAGAGATATGTAGCGGAATACAAAATAGTAGCGGAAAAATAGAAACAGATGAATAGATATTTTAAAATTCGAATGAAATATTTTAGGGACAAAAGAAGTGCAAGAATTAACCTTAGAACATTAGAATAGCCCCCGTGTTGCCGCTCTTTTTCTCTCATGACAGGTGCGGGCAGAATTGAGAAAGATCGCGTAGAGATCCTTCCGCTCTTCCCGAATTAACCAACAAATCAATTCGTCCCTTTAAGGGTGCTATGACATTGGACTTTGCTTCGATGAGAGAGATAGCACGAGAGATAAAACGCTAAACTAGTATTCGTAGCCCTCTCCAGATGCGTCTCTCCGCCTCTCAGTCGAAGAACTGATGCACTATTTGTGAAAATAATTGCACCCTGAAAAGCTAAACTGGAAAGCCAAGCTGACGCACATATGTACATCTCTCGCTCTCACAGCATGCTTTTCCCACAAGTCAAAGTTAGCAAAGTCGTCCAGTCATTTTTCCAGAAATTACAGCGATATCATAAGACAGAAGGAGGAAGAGAGAGAATACGGCATTCATCGGCTCTGAAACAAATTCCAAATTACGTATAAAATATTTTGTATAGATAACAAAACAATCATAAGCTCATTTCAAATCAATTTTGAGGCCTAAGACTTCTTACAACGTATTGTTCCTTCCTTGTTGTATAACTCCTAAATCATAAACCTATAGAGAGGTCTCTGCTAAATGCAGAAGTTACTGTTAAACCAAAGCTAAATCAATTTCAGAACATAATTTTCTACATTTTCATACCACTTCTGGAGTAAAACACTCAAATTCCAATCTAAGGCTTTCACTCACCCAACATTTCCGCATTGACCACAATGGTACAGCTGTACATGGGCGTTACCAAGCGCTGTGGCTGATTCTGGAAAGCCTGACGACACACCTCCTTCGCAGCAGTCAGAACTTGACCTGAAAATGCATCAAAGAATCACAGATTACTTGGAATTTCTTCTGACAAAAAACACACACAGATTACATACCCGAAAAGGGTCCTCTAGCATTTAGATCCTCGCCCTCTGATTGGATGGACCATTCGAGGACAGCAAAGCAGACGCCCTGCATGGGCTCCTCGCACAGCGGCCCTGCCCCGGAGGTCAGCTGAAAGCCATTGACCAGAGAGCTATTGAAATCCTTGCGTGGATCGGACAGAGAGCGTATTTCCGTGTCGGAGGACTTGGCTTGGCTGGACCAGAAATCGGGCTGCTCGTAGTCCGTGAGGTTGAGCAGCAGATTGGTGCCGCAATTCCGGGGACCCAGGGCCCAGAGGCGACTGACCAACTCCTCGGGGGAGAGTGAACTCAGGCCGAACAAGTGCAGATCCTGAAGAGCGGCCACCAGTTTCAGTTTGATGGAAGCCAAAAGAGTAGCGTACTTCTCGGAGAGAAGCTGATTCCTCGGTGTGGCAGCCAGTTCCTGTTGGGAAGAAGAGCTTTCATTAGTAAAAGGTAAAGTGGTAAAGTTATTTTTTCGTTTCCCACTCACTTTGAAGAATTCCGTGTGCCTCTCCAGCAATTCCACTGCCTCTGGGGGCAGGGGCAGCGCTATAACCTTCAGGGTTCCCAGCTTATTGAGCGTCTGTTGGACTGCAATCTTCTTGCTCACGTCCTTGTCGTCCGCCGTCTTCACAATAGCCTCATTAACCATGTCCACGGTGGCCGCGGGGACAATGGTCTCCCTGAAGGACACTATGGGCTTGGACACGTTCACCTTGACCTTGGCGTAGCTCTGCTCCAGATCGTGGACACACTTCTCCACATGCACCTCCCCCAGGGTCGTGATCACATGCTCCCCCGTCGGAGCCACCGACACCTGGACACAGGCATCCGCTTGGTTCAGCAGCTTCAGGCCCTTGACCAGCTTGGGCATATCCTGCGGCTGCACGGGCTCAATGGCCACTCGGAGTATGGGTGTGGCCATGATGCTCAGCTCGCTGAAGGATGTGCAGTCCAGGGTGCTGCTCAGGGTGGCCGTTTTCACGATGTGCGCTCCCAGGCCCCCGATTCCCACAATGTTTCCGGCCGGGACCTCGTCCAGGAGCTGCAGTTCCCCGCCCATGAACATGTAGAGATCCCCGATGGTCACGCGAGTGGCATAGGGCGCCTGCCCTTCGATGCGGTGTGCCGGCTGGCGGGGATCGTGCTTGGGTGAGAGATTGAACAGCTCCATGCCACGCCTCAAAGTTCCACTGAAGACGCGGGCAAAGGCAACGAAAACGAATTCGTTCCGTTCTGCCTCTGCCGCTGGCTCTGGGCCTGGGGGAGGTTCTTCTTTTGGGGTATCCTCCTGCTTGGTGCTGAGCTGCTCCACACCCTCAGTAATCCTCTCCAGCTCAGTCTGCTCGCTCTGGTGCTTACGTTCCTCGATCCGCCGACGCACCTCATCCCGGCGCGTCTGCAGCTCCTGGTCCGTCATTCTCTTGGGTCGATTTTGGGGCAGTTGGGAGACGTGGATGGGCGTCATCTTGGACACAAAGGCGATGACATTGTCGCTGCCTGCATCGCAGCTGGTGAAGCTGTCCTTGAGCTTCAGCGTCTCGAGTGGGAGCGAACTTAGTTGGATATTCGCTGGATAGAGCAGTCTTTGGGCCCGCTCCTCGCTGATCTGATGGGGCGGTGGCACATGCTGCACCACCATGTGCAGGACGCTGCTGTCGATGGGCAGCCACTGTCCCAGCACGGCCTTGATCTGCAGCTTGGGATCGGTGAGGCGCAGATCACGGGCGGCCAGCTTCAGGCCAAGTTTCTCGGCTATGCCCGGCAGCTTATCCTTGTCCTTCCGCACGGCTATGATGTCGTACATGCTCCAGATGTTCTCCAGCACAAACTGTACAAACATCGGCTTCTTGGCCTTCTCCTGGGCCCCCGGCATGGCGCATTTCTTCTTCGAATTGTAGTAGAAATCTCCCCAAAGCACCTGCTCTAGTTCCTCGCGCTTCATCTCCAAACGTTTGTCGTACATGGCCGCGAAATCGCGCACGGAGAAGGCCCAGCCATCGTAGGCGGAGGAGAATACCACATTGCCGGAGCTTGGCGAGAAATACAACTCCGAGTCGTCAACTTCCTCCAGCGCAGACTCCTGGTTGTCCTTCTGTGTGATATCCTCCCTGGCGAGGACATCGGAGGCGAAAATGCTGCCCAGCACAGCGTTGACCTGCTCGAGGACCTGTGTCAAGTGGAAGTACGCATCCAGAGGCTCCATCTGCTTCTCCAGTATCAGGCGATCCAGTTTATTGAGCACCAGAACCGGCTTCAGCTGCTCCTCGTAGATCTGCTTGAGACAGGCTCGTGTCTGGGCGCCCACGCCCTCGACCACATCCACCACGACAATGGCCCCGTCACAGAGCCGCACCGCAGTGGACACCTCGCTCGAAAAGTCCACATGTCCGGGCGAATCAATCAGATTGACGAGGAAATCATTTTCGTTTCGATTTCCATGGTCTTTGTAGTGCAGGGAAATGCTGCTGCTCTTCATGGTGATGCCGCGCTCCTGCTCGTCTTGGCGGCTGTCCAGATAGCGCAGTTTGCCCGCCATCCGCTGAGAGATGATGCCGTTGCTGGCCACCAAAGAGTCCGCCAAAGTCGTTTTTCCATGGTCCACGTGCGCCAGGATGCAAATGTTACGCACCTGTTGCTGACGGCGCTGCAACAGCGCCAAATCACTGCCCTCCACCACGGGCATCCTGTCTAATTGTGCTACAAAGCGCGAACGATTTAACTAATCAACTAAGAATTTCACAAGTTGGACCAATTGCATTTCTTTTTTTTTGTAAACAAAAATGGCACGCGGCGCAATTTCGCAATTTCGTGTGACCAGCTGAAGTAAGGGGAAAAATACTCCAGGTTGGCAGCTCCATCAGCTGTTAACCACGCATGCAGTTGGGTCGCCCTCTTCCTCTTTCCATCCAACAATTTCGTGAAGCTGCACGCAAAAATCAAAAGATTTCCACAGAAAAATGGTCGAACTAACTCCTGAGGAGAAAAAGACGCTGATCACGCGCAACCTGCAGGAGACCCTCGGCGAGGACAAGCTGAACAAAGTGCTCAGCGAGCGCGACCTAAAGATCTACTGGGGAACGGCGACGACGGGAAAGCCACATGTCGCCTACTTTGTGCCGATGTCGAAGATTGCCGACTTCCTAAAGGCCGGCTGCGAGGTAACCATTCTGTTTGCCGATCTCCACGCCTATCTGGACAACATGAAAGCGCCCTGGTCGCTGCTGGAGCTGCGCACCCAGTACTACGAGCAGGTGATCAAGGCCATGCTGAGCTCCATCGGCGTTCCGCTGGAGAAGCTGAAGTTTGTCAAGGGCAGCGACTACCAGCTGTCCAAGGAGTACACTCTGGACGTATACAAGCTATCCTCGGTGGTCACGCAGCACGATGCCAAGAAGGCGGGCGCCGAGGTCGTTAAACAGGTAGAGTACCCGCTGCTGTCTGGCCTGCTCTATCCAGGACTGCAGGCCCTGGACGAGGAATACCTGAAGGTGGACGCCCAGTTTGGGGGCGTCGATCAGCGCAAGATCTTCACCTTCTCCGAGAAATATCTGCCCCAATTGGGCTACGAGAAGCGCATACATTTCATGAATCCCATGGGTGAGTCATCGTCATCCCCATTCATACCATCTTTCCCGCTCTATTATTAATGGGTTTCCTCTGACAGTTCCTGGGCTCGCTGGCGGCAAGATGTCTTCTTCTGAGGAGGACTCCAAAATCGATCTATTGGACTCGCCCGCCAACGTGAAGAAGAAGCTGAAGAAGGCCTTCTGTGAACCCGGCAACATCGCCGACAATGGTCTCCTCTCGTTCGTGAAGCACGTGCTCTTCTCCCTCTTCAAGGAGGGCGAGGGCTTCGAGGTGTGCCGCGAGGCGGAGCATGGTGGCAACGTCACGTTCCTGAAGTACGAGGATCTGGAGAAATACTATGCCGAGGATAAACTGCATCCGGGAGACCTGAAGGCCACCGTGGAGAAGTATATCAATCGCCTGTTGGATCCCATTCGGAAGATCTTTGAGACGCCAGCGTTGCAGTAAGTGAACAAAATTCAGATATCCCATCTTTACAGCCATTAATCCTCTCGGTAACGCTTTTCCTGCAGAAAACTCAGTGCTGCTGCCTATCCGCCACCCGCCAAGGTCAAGGCTGGAGCTGCTCCGGCTGCGGGCGCTGATGAGGATGCGCCCCATCGTTTGGACATTCGCGTGGGCAGGGTCATCGAGGTGGCCCGTCACCCGGATGCGGATACGCTCTATGTCCTAAAGATAGATCTGGCTGAGGCGCAGCCGAGGACCATCATCAGTGGATTGGTCAAGTTTGTCACCGAACAGGAGCTGGATCAGCGCCTGGTGGCTGTCCTGTGCAACCTGAAGCCTTCCAAGATGCGCGGCATTCTCTCCGAGGGCATGGTTCTGTGCACCTCCAAGTGAGTAACATCCGACAGCCGATTTTCTCTTCTGCTTTCTATAGTAAATCTATTCCAGCGCTGATCACACGGTTGTGGAGCCTATTGTGGTGCCTGAGAAGGCTGCTCCTGGCAGTAGGCTGGCCTTCGAGGGCTACAGCGGCACGCCTGACGAGCAGCTCAACCCCAAGAAGAAGGTGTGGGAGAAGCTGTCCGTCGATTTGAAGACCAACAGCGACGGCCTGGCCGTGTGGAAGGATAACTTCCTTCTGACGCCCGAGGGGGAGAAGCTTTCCAGCAAACTGGCCAACTGTGCCATTAAGTAGGGTCACACTACCAATGCCACACTACCTGAGCCGTGTAATACTTACTACTAAGCAGAATGTTTCACACAAAAAAACAAGTTTTTAATTTATTAATTCCCATTAAAGCAATTGCATTTTTTAAATAAAGCGCGCAAAAGTCACAATGGCAATGTCAACTCAATGTTAACCATTTCAAACGAGTTGGCAGTTCTTTTATAACAGCTGTTCGAAGTAAACAAAACTGGAAGAGGAATTTTCTTTTGGGTTTTGTTGAAGGAAAATGTTGAAAGTAAACCAGCAGACATTGCTGAGGCAGTGCCTCTGGCTAACACAACGCTATGCCCACAGCCAGGTGCGCGTTCGCTTTGCCCCCAGCCCGACCGGGCAGCTCCATTTGGGCGGCCTGCGCACGGCTCTATACAATTTCCTTTATGCTCGGCATTTGGGCGGGAAATTCCTGCTCAGGATCGAGGACACGGATCAAACGAGACTTGTGCCTGGTGCTAGTGAGCGCCTGGTGGAGGATCTGCTCTGGGCGGGCATTGAAATCGACGAGGGACCCGGCTTTGGCGGCCGGCATGGACCCTATGTCCAAAGCCAAAGAACTGATATTTACAGGTGAGTGAAGACAATGGAATCCCATTAGCCCATTCAACCATTGAAACTGCTCACCATTCCCAGTAAGGCCATCAAGAAGCTGCTGCAGAATGGCACCGCCTATCGCTGCTTCTGCACGGAACGCCGTCTGGAGCTGTTGCGTAAGGAGGCGCTGCGCACACGCCAGGTGCCGCGCTACGACAACAAATGCCGGCATCTGCAAGCAGCGGATGTGGAGAGCCTTCTGGCCCAAGGTGCACCCCACTGCATACGCTTCAAGCTGACGGAGCATGAGGAGCCCCTGGAGGATCTCGTCTACGGCAGTGTCCAGCACAATGTCAGCGACAACGAGGGTGATCCGGTGGTTATAAAAAGCGACCACTTTCCCACCTATCACTTTGCCAATGTGGTGGATGACCACCTGATGGGCATCACCCATGTTCTGCGAGGAGTTGAGTGGCAGATATCGACCACAAAGCATTTGCTGCTCTACAAGTGAGATTTTCCCCTGTCTCAGTCTCAATCCATTTCTACGATAATATTTGGCTCATCCTCTAGAGCTTTTGGATGGCAGCCGCCAAAGTTTGGTCACCTGCCGCTCCTGGTCAATGCAGATGGAACGAAGCTCAGCAAACGACAGGGCGACATTGGAATTCAGCATTTCCGGGAGCGCGGCTACTTCCCCCTCTCGCTGGTCAACTATGTGGTCTCTGCGGGTGGAGGCTTCCAGCACAAAGCCCATGCGAAGCAGCAGCTCTTGAGCCTTCAGGAACTCTGCCAGCAATTCGAAATGGAGCGCGTGAATGCCCATCCCAGTCGCTTGAGCCCCGAACTTCTGGATGACTTGAATCGCTTGGAGATCGGCCAACGTCTGGCAGAGCCCGAGTCCCGATTGCAGCTGGTCAAGCAAGTGCAGGAGCTAGTCAAGAAAGCCTACCCAGAGCAGTAGGTGCACTCTGAGTTTCCCCGAAAAGATCTTAACTCGAATTTCGTTGCAGCTCAAATTTGGATCTGGCGGAGGCACACATTGTGGATGTCCTGAATTGGTCCTCGCAGCGTCTGACACTCCTCCAGGATCTGACCAGCAGCAAGCTGAGCTTCCTCTGGGTGAAACCATCCAACTTTGAGCTGAAAGACCTGTCGCTAGAGCAGCTAATCAGCCTGATAACAGAGCTCGACACCCTGCAGGACTTCCAGAAGGATGAGCTGAATGTAAAACTGAAAAAGTTTGCCAAAACGGAGGGCCTTAAGTTCCCCCTGATGATGAAGACGCTACGAGCGGCTCTTAGTGGCCTCAACGAAGGTCCTGGCGTGGCCGAAATGATGGAGATCCTGGACAAGTCAGTGGCCCTCGACCGCCTAAGAGAGGCTCTGCCCAAAACGGATATAAATCGAAATCGGAAAATAGTTTGACGACGCTAAAGTTCTCGTTATATATTTGTAAATATAGTAGATATAGATAATGTTTTTAATGGATAACTGCAAGTTGGAGAATAAGTTGATTGAGGTTGAGTAAACACCACATTAAGAGTCAAAATAATGCAAGATTAATCTTCTTTTTGTCCAGTAGTGTCCTGGACACACTCTTTTCCATCTGTTTCCAAATTTGGCATTCTCGCTATGCTCGTTAAGCACCACTCCTAGATAATTTTAAGATAGATATATATATATATAATACTACAGTTGTTTAACTGAAGTCGCGATTGGAGATAATTATGGGGGCGGCCAGACTCCAGCCGTAGATGAAGACGCCCAGCCAGCTGGAGATGATCTTGACCCACATGGAAGCCTCATTGCCATTGAAGAGCTCAATATCCGAGTTGGGTCTATCAGAGAGTAGATATTATAGCACGATTCTGGCTTATAGATGCTCAGATGTGTAAATACTCACTTGTACCAATTGGTGAGGGTCATCATCACGTAGAGGGAGGCGCAGACAAAGACAATGTGAAACATGGACCAGGAGTAGGTGACGCCCTCGACCTCGTTGTCGGCGCTCGGCTTGCCGTCGGCGTCAGTGGCCGCCTCTGTGTCTGATAGAGCTTCTGTTAAAACTACATTAATCAGAGGGCCAAGAGGAGGAGGAGCATACAGATTTCACACAGTTTCCAGTAACCCAAAAGTTTGTTAGTTGGTTAGTCGTGGAAAAACGCATACAAAAATATACCAAAAAGAGGTGTCGAAGGGAAAGCAAATAAGTCGAGTGTTAATAATCGGAATTAGCATTATTCTACAGCGTTTCAAATGAAAAGTGAAAAATTGTGAGCGAAATGAATCCGAATGCGTGATGTGATGTGATGGAAACTGTGGAATGCATGGTCATGCACGAGGGAGAGGGTGAAGGGGAGGCAACATACCACGCTTCTCGCTGTTGTCATGGGTGATCTTGGACACCTCCACGGCGGAGCTGATGCAGTTGTACAGGATGCAGAGCAGCCAAACGACCAGGCCAATGATGTTGGTCGTATCGAAGGTAACCTTTGAGTTGTGCGAGGGCGGAGTGGGTGGCGCAATGGTGGTGGTAGTGCCATTTCCGAATCCTTCCATCAGGCCAAACATTCCCGGATTGCAGGCCTTCTCTGGATTGTTAGCCACAGCCGACCAGGTCAAGTAGACAGTGTACAGGGTGACAAGAGAGCTCTGCAGCAGGCCCGAGTGGGGAAGACGCTCCTGGACAGCCGGCAGTATAGAGATGACGCTGATGACCAGGCAGAAGATCAGATTAATAGAGATGAAGAACTTGTTGATGCCGCAGCCAGTGGACTGGAAAGGAAAATCGCGTATCAGAATGCAAATAGATAAGCAAACGCTTTCGTGCCGTCTTACCGTGGTAAAGTAGATATACAGCAGAGTAATGCCCGTCAGCGATAAGATATAGCCCAGGAGAGTGACCCCAGCCAGGGCGTAGTAGTAGCCACGACTGTTTTCGGCGCCCTCTAAAACGAGATGAATAGATGAATCATGGATCATGGCGCACGAACAGAGTGGAGAGCAGATTGAATGACTCACCGATCCAAGACTCTGCCAGACTGTGTGCGAAATCCACAATGATGACCAACTGTACGAGTATGAATGCCAAGCCGCCAATGAGACCCACCCACATCATCGCCGGACCAAAGGAGCCGTCTGGTATGAAGATGGCCCCGATGGCGGCTCCAAAGCAAATCAGGAACTTCAGTGGCCAAAAGTTGTTCTGTATGTGTGAGCGCGGATCCCGGGAACTCTTCACCCCCAGCATAATCAGAGCCATTAGCGCAAAGAAGCAGGCCATACCGAAGCAGACCCTATAGACAGCCATGTATCCCAGCGCATATTCACAGTCCACCTGCAGGGAACCACCCGAGAAGGTGTCAATGGCCTTGGAGCTATACGTTGATGTCGAGTTGATGCAGAAGGGCAGCTTCTTCAGAGTGTCCTGCAGCCCGGGCGACAGGGCAATGGCCCCCAGGACAGTGCCCACCAGCAGGATGAAGGCGTACATGAACCGGGAGGAGGATGCATTCGTGCAGCTGGGACAGGCCGAGCAGCACATGCTCGCCGCAGTGCCACCGCAGCAGAGGGCGCACTGGAAATACCCAAAAAAATCGTTTAATTTACATAAGAAAAGCGAGACGAGATGCCAAATTCATTTGAACATATGGCGCAGCTTATTGATTTGTAGCCAATAGCTGCACTGCTGCTGTTGTTGCTGTTTGTCTGGGATTCTCTCTGGTCACGCGGCTAATTGGGCGCTAATTAACTTACCTGGGCGGCAGAACAGAGGCCCAAAACAGCTCCCATTGGTTCAGAGATTTAGTTACTTTCGTTTAATTGCGTCGTTCTGTTCTGTTAAAATAAAACAAATCTTTGTTTGTGAAAATTACGACCAAGTGTTGTGAAGTCTCGTGCACCTAAAGTGTTGTATAACGATTGTGGAGTGCAAGGCATAATAGCTACAGAAGGTTCTGATATCGTTTATTTGTTGAGAAGATAAGGTAGCCAAACTGCGAGCTACCGTTAACTTCGGACTGAAGCTTCCGATAGTATATGAAAACAGTACACAAAACGGAGCTAAGAATTTCATTAATGATTGCCTTTTTTTCAATTCGAATGTTCGAATGTTTCGCCGGTAAGATTAATTTGATGTTGATCAACGAATCCTAAATCATAACCATATCGTGGCCAATCCCCCCAAAACACATCTGTAGATTTCTTTGAATTTATTAAAATCAATCGCTTGACCATCAGATAGTAGTAAATCGAGATGGATTTTATGATTCCGCAGAATAGATATCCAACTACTTACAGTGGATCCGCAGTATTTGACAAGGAAAATTTGCAAAAATAAAGACAACTATGAGAGTTTTCCTCATCTCATGGTTTTTGGACCATCAATAAATTGTACCATCCGGTGGAATCCGTTATCTGATATAATTTGCGCTTGAATTGAAGCGATGGTTTGGACTCTTTTGATTAAAAAGTTTAATTAGTTGGCTTGTTCCCTCGAACCACAAAGTTTTAAGATTGTATCTTAATTTGACATATATTTCCAAATTCATTGAACTTTCTCGGAAAGAAAATTGGTACGCAGACTCATCCCGACCCTACCACATACAGCTATATCATGCGTCCCCGTTGGTACACATGAGAGAGAGCAGGAGAGAGTTATATCTACTTCTCTTTCTTTTGCATGGTTAGATACAATCCCGTTAGATACAATTTATTTTCTTCCAGCAACATGTGAAGCCACATCTATGGCAGACATTTTTTGAAAATGACAAAGTATAAAGTGTAAAAACGCTCTCTTTGATTTGATCGAAACTCGACTCGAACCACTGGGCTATGTTATGGAAAGGTATGGACAACAAGGAAAAATGGACCAGCATTATTTCAAGGACTCACGCACCTCACCTTATCTCACAATATGCTGTGATTTCTTATGTACATATGCATGTTGGGAATTAGGCAATTTGGCAATTATATTCCGAAGGGAAATTCCCTTATGCAAAAAATATACAAATCATAGAAAACGATGGATTCACAGAAAAAAAAATATTTACAAAATTCTGAAAATCACGCAGCTTCCATTAATTTTGAGCAATACACAAATAGTTTTTGAACTAGAAACTTTATTGAACAAGAAAAGATCGCTGATGAGGGGAAATGGTCTCTTCCGAAAGAGTCCAAATATGCAATTTTTTATTTGAATTCCTTTTTCACACCGGAAAGTTTACCGCCGAATCCATTTATTAATTCTAGGTTTTCAAAACCAAAAATCACAAAATCGAGTCAATTTCAAAATAAAGTTATGCTACCGCATACTGTTGATATATTTTTTTTAAACATTTTTCCTAAACTTTATTTTACAGGCAATCAAAAAGAAGTCTTTATAGCTTATCTTGTAGAATATTGATTCATCGGTCGGATAAAATTATGTGTTCAGAGCTGAGAATCCTAGCTAGCTGGTAATATTCAACCGAATATAAAAATAGACGAGAGAGCAGTATACCCTAGTGAAAAGGATATTAAAGGAATGAGGACATTTTTGTCATCTTTTGCCAATGCAGAAACTTTTCAGTCTCTGTTATAAATTTTCAATTAAATTTTACAGGATTTTAATATTGACTTATGAAAATAGGGTATGCAAATGTCCATACGCATAGCTGATACCTTTTCACCAGCAAAAAAGACGTTTCATTCCGTACACACTAACGTTTACGCATTGACCTTATCTGCTTAAACTTTACTTTAGACACAATCCAATAAACAGCAGTATTTAAGATTGGCATATCTTGTAGAAAGTTGATTCATCAATCGGGTAAAATTATTTATTCAGGCCTGAGGCTATCTATTAATATTCCACGGAATATTGTTTCCAATCCTTGACGGAGCACAATTAGCCCATGGTAAACCAAAGAGGTATTGTAATATTCCACCGAATATAATGAAAATCAAAAATTTTAGCGCAGTTCAGGTGAAAGATATAGTGGGTTTTTTTTTAAGTTCAGAGGGAAGATGGCATTAATCGTCAAGAAGAATTTACAAGCCATATTTTCCGCCAATTACCTCAAGTAGTTGGACTGATTGAATAGAGGGGGGCTAAGTGGGCTAAGTTCGATTTCTTATCGATTTCGATACTATTTTGTTGTTGAGCCACCAAAATAGAGACAAAAACAATCAAAGCAATCGCCGCAGCAGGAAAACAACTCAAGTATTTAAAAGAAACCAGTCAAGTAGAAAATTGATTCATTAATCGGATAGAATTATGTGGGCAGGGCTCAGAGATCTATTAAGCGAGTAATATTCGAAAGAATATCAAAAACGAGGAATACGTATGATTGAATTTGAATTTGTCAGTATATTTATGGTATAAAGAGACGGTATATTTCGGTATATTTCTGAGGGTCAGACCGTATTCCTGATCTATCGATGCTCTCTCCTGCGACGAAAAAATGAGTAATTTTGAGTGGGCTATAAAGAAAAGTATGGACAACAAGCAAAATTTGACAACAAAATTTGAAAGGTTCGTATGAACTCTCACCTCGTCTGTGAGGACAAAAACCTTGAAGACGAAATCGGCAAGGTATATCGGGCAAATGGGGTGGTTTTCACCTTGCCTGCGTTGCATTTGTTGGCTATTGTCCATACCCTCTTTTTTCTCCTATTATGTAGCTAATGTGTAGTTGCCGTGTAGTTGCCATGTAAATAAACCCTCTTTTTCCTGTAAGGTAGCGCTGCAGCAGTAGCTCACATCTTCCAATTTTTTTGAACTGCGCGGTTGGGTTTGCGTCTGGTTGGTGTTAACGTTAACGGCACTTATTCCGACTTCCGACTGAACAGAGAGAGATCCTGTATTCCTGTATTAACCGACCCGAGTGTCTTGTGGTAATTTTTTTCAATCCCCCCCGCTATATAGTAGTGGGTCGCGTCAGTGTGTATAAGTGTTCCTGTGCATTTGAGCAAGGAAAAGTGTGAAGAATCTGTTAGCTGAAAGAAAGCGCAACTTTAAAGAGAAAAAGCAGAAACGAAATGGCCACCGAAGTAGCCCAAATACCCGCTGAGGAAACGCCTGCCGTTGCGGCGCCCACAGAGAAGCCAGCCTCCGAACAGGCGGAAAAACCTGCTGCCAGCGAGCCTGCTGCTGCCGCGCCCGCCGTCGCTGCTCCGGCTGAAAACGAAAACGCCCAAGGAAACAAAGAGGACGGCAAGGCGGCGTCCAAGGAAAACGCTGATGGTGCCGCAGACGGGGAGGCCAAGAAGGACGGAGAGGCAGCGGCTGCTGCAGCGCCGGCCAAATCGGAGGCCCCTCCCGCACAAAAGTTCAATGTGCACAAGACCAACTTCGAGAAGGACATCATCTATCTGTACCAGTTCTCCAGGACTCCATTGCTGCCGTCGCTGTCGCCCTACTGCTTGAAAGTTGAGACCTGGCTTCGTCTGGTCGGTCTCAAGTACGAGGTAATTATCAGTCAATTTTCCGGGGAAAATCTGCAAACAGAAACCCAAAACATATTTCAGAAATACATATTTCTGGGTTTTCGTCTCGCATTTCGGTTTTTTCATCATTGTAAAATTTTTGCGGTACAGATTTTTTCCCTGCTCCTGCCAGAGAGAGCGAGTGGGAGAGAGAGAGAGAAAGAAAAACCGCCATGATTGTGTGCTAAGCCTGCCTCTGTCCTGTGTACGTGTATGTACGTATACATATAGGGGTATGTGTGTGACCTGCCCTGCCCTGCCCTCGCATTGAGCTGAAAAAGGGATACATTTAGCATTTGCCTTTCCTTTCTATCCCGTAACAGAAGTTGCTCTCTCTTCCAGTAGTTGTCCATGTGTGCGTGTGTGTGTGAACCTGTAGCCTGGCCGGATTTCTTGTACTCCTTGGTGTGTATGCGTGTGTCTACATAAAACAGCGTATACATAAAATTTGTGTGTGCGCCGACGCCGGCGTCGCTGCCTCTCATAAAGTTGTGCTTTTATGCTCTGAACCCCCCTCCACCCCACGACTCCACTCGCCAAAACACCAGCAGCAGCAACAACAGGCGAAATGAAGTCGTGCTTCAAATTTTGCACTTGGCGCTGCCGACTCTCTCCTTTTGTCTCTCTCTCTCTCTAGCTCCGACTCTCCTCTCTCTCTGTATGTCTGTGTCTGTGTGAGTGTCTGCTCTTTGTCTTTGTTGCACTTCTTTCATGCTATCCTCTCAGCCTCCGCCTGGGCCACCGCTCTGCAGCTTGTAATTGCTTTTAATAAAAATTGATGTAGTTTGAGACGGTGCAATCCCCCCCGTCTTGGAAATAACTTCAAGCCGCGCTCTTTCTGTCTTCGTCTTCCTTCTGGCTTTGCCTTGCTTATCTCTATGCCCGTTAAGTAGCTGTAATAGTGGCGGAGAAGAGGCGAAGGCGACGGGGAAACTGTCAACGACTTCCATTGGGGCTTCCATTTTAGCTTTTGCTTTTTTTTAAAGCGCGCGATGCGGTTTGCATATTTTTCATATTTTTATAGGAAAAACTTGCCCTAGCAGCAACAGCAGCTGCCTGTCCCACAAATAGGGGGTGGGAGGTGGGGAGAAATGGGTGCGGTCACCCGCACATCTACACAGAAACAACAACGACGCAGTTGTTGTTTAATCTTATTAATTACACATTTGGTAAATGAAAAATGAGCCCAAGAGGAATGTTAATTGATGCGCCGCTGCCACTGCCACTGCCACTGCCGCTGCCTCTCAAGATGCCAGAGAACCGATAAGAGCGGCACGGCACTCCCCACTCCTATGCTTCCAGTAGCATGCTGCCATATGTTGCATTCCAAAAAGAAAGCAGAGCTGCAGTCAATTATGATTGACAGT